GCTAAACAGCTCTTACTGGCTATTTTTTTGAGTACACATGTTCAAAACAAATATAATCAGTCAGTCACATAGCAGCAACTAAGTGAATTTAAATATGTAATATGGTCAAGATGATGCCCTGAAGTGCAAAACAAGCATCAAAATGGTGAAGAAAGGTGATTTAAGTGGCTCAGAATGTGGTAATGTTGTGGTTGCCAGAATAACTGGTTCAAGTTTTTAAAAAAACAGTGCTACAGGTGTTTTCTCATACAACCATCTCTATGGTTTACAGAGAATGGTCTGAAAAAGAGAAAATAACCAGTGAGTGTCGGGTCATTGCGCAGAAATGCCTTATTTATGTCAGAGCTCAGAGGAGACTAGTCAGACTGCTCAAACTAGATTTTTGAACTAACACTGAGTTCAGTAGGCTTAAATGTCCTCCATAATCACCACATCTCAATCCAATATTACCTTTGGGATTTTGGTGAAACGGGAGATTTGCATTATAAATCTGCATCCACTGTGATGCTGTCATGTCTACATGGATCAAAATCTCAGAGGAATGTTTCCAGCACCTTGTTGAATCTATGCCAAGAAGAATGTAAGCATATGGTTTGTTGAAAGCGTACTTGTGTACTGGATCCCATTGTGTTTTGCCAGTTGCACTGTTAAGGAAAAGGCAGCATTCTATCGATCTACCTATCTATAAGCCTTTAACTCACATTTGCCATGCCTCCTTTGATTTTCTGTTGAAGTATTGCTGAAGGATGTGCTTCTGAACAAATCTGTTGAATCCATTATTGTTCCAGGTCCTCTGACATGGGCGATTGTTGTACTTGTTCCGTGGGTTGGAGTTTCGGCTTGGATTGTAAACCATTGCATTCCATCCATGCAGAAGTGCGAGAGTGCACAAGATAGTCAGAAGGACAGCGTTCATTTTATCTAGTGTGTATGAAAAAAACATTGTGAGTACATTTATTCACACATTCAGAAACAATGTAATACATGTCTAACACTACAAAGGTCTGTATTAATCAACGTTTTCTTGTTGTTTTTTTAAACAAGCCATTATTTGACTATTAATCAAATTATAGACAAAGATGCTAAAGTGTCATGTAACTACTAATTATAGAGCACTAAAGGTTCAGCAATAACCATTTTCATACATATATTTAAAGGTGGTTATATTTGGCATAAAACTTGCTGCTTCCCTTCCTCTTTTCATTCTATATAATAATAATAATAATAATAATAATAATAATAATAATAATAATAATAATGGATTGGATTTATATAGCGCTTTTCGGGGCCCTCAAAGCACTTTACAATACCACTATTCATTCACTCTCATATTCATACACTGGTGGAGGCAAGCTACAGTTGTGGCCACAGCTGCCCTGGGGCAGACTGTCTTTATCTAAGTGTGCATGAGTGTTGGGCTTTATGTCTTCCGCCAGTCTTTCAGTGCACATGTGTGTGACACACAAATTATTGGAAATCCTACTGGTTATACTGTTAAAGCTCCAGTGTTTCCCATCATTCTTCAGCAGATCATCCTGCCAGTTAAAACACTTAAACTGTAAACTTAACCATCTCAGGTATAAAGTAGTTCTTTATTGCTTATTGTGAGATTTATGTAACAAAACTGGTGGAAATAAATTAAAACAAATCCACTGTAAGTGCACTGTAAGTCTAATATCTACTTTTTCACATCAGGGTCATCATTATCATTGTAGTGGTTTTACTAAAATGTCGGAAAATTAAAGGTTTTCAAAAGACTGTTACTGCTACTTGATAAATTATAAAAGATTGTCTTTATATGTATTGTTAAAGGCAGAAACTGTGCGTGGCATGTGTGTGTGAAGAGGTCTTACCTGATCACATGAACTTCCTATGTTGTCAGTGTAGCTGTTTTAGTATGGAGGAGAAAAACAACTGAGGTTTGAGTCTATGAAACGTTTCCCTCTTTTAAACCAGCATCTTCTCTAGTGTGAACTATAACAACCAATCATCTCAAATTTCCACTTTCTATAAAGTATAGGTTAATGATCATTTCAAGGCAAATAAGTAATGTGTAAATGTTTTTTGACACAAACTGAGAGCACACCCTTCTGTTTCTGTAAATGAAGAAGTTCACACTTGTGTCTGGTGTTAGTGTGAAATTTTCCATTTTACACCCACGTGGACAACAAATAAACTGAAGTATAGAAAAACAGAAAAAGAACACAAAGAGCACCGGCCACGAGCTAAAATATTTCACTAGACTGTCATTGAACACCTTTATTATGAATCCATCATATTCCACATGATTGGCAATCAATAAGCAAAATATGGTTGAAGTGTTTTGCTTTGTACGGCATTCACAGTGAGTTACAACAAATTTAATGTGAAGTATTGAATTGTTTTTAACATTATCATGAAATAACACACGCTCACTCAAATGCATACAAGTGACATCAAATAGCAAATTCACTCATTGCACTCCTTTCTAAACTCATGTTTCATATATAGAAATAACTTTTTTTACAGCAACTAAATTGTTTTCACGAGTAACGTGTGACAGAGTCATTGTGGTAGCTATGAAGTGAATTGAGTAAAAATGTCTAACATGTTATTGAAATCACACAGTAAAGTATCCTTTGCTTATCTTTTGATGTTTTGATCATTTTGTACAATTTTTAGAACTTTCTTTTAAATCTAGTACCCGGAGCAGATTCTTCTCATACTTTACAAAGCTTTGCCTCTTCATAACACTGACACAATGTAACAATCTGTCTTATTTTTATATAAACCTGAAAAAAATCTGACATTTTTAGGCTTTAGAAATAAGCAGAAAGCAGAAAGTCAAACTCACTGGTTACATCTAGTGGACGATTGAGGAATAACAGTCTGGAAAAACTACAAGGTCAAACATGTTTTATTGTATTATTTGAACCAACATCTTGACAAAAAATATAAAGTTTGAAAAAAAAAGAGATCTGTAAATGACAGTTTTATTGATTTAAATACATCATATATAATGATCACAACTGTTGCGGATTATAAATGAAAACAGTTAAGAACAAGAGAAGAACTCATTCATCTTTTTACATATAAATATAATGAATAGTATTTATAGTCAGGGGTTAGAGAAGGGCCTTTAAGTAACAGTTGCTCAAGTATGTGTGTGTCTCTTGTGACTCCAAAAGCATGTCAGTCTTGCAGCTATGAGCTCTCTTAAGAAAGGCCAGACAGTACACTATAAACTTATTTACACAAAACTGTGTTTCTAAAAGATTTTTGTAATTCTCACAGCTGGGTAGCTGTGAATTAGGAGGTAGAGCGGGTCAGTTAATTAGAAGGTTAGTAGATTGGTCCCTGGCTCCTCAAACCTGTGTGTCAATGTATCTGTGGGCAAGATGGTGACCCCTGAGTTGAATCATGTGCTCTCCCTGGAGGATGAATGTCAGGGTTAAAGAGCTTAGACATTGGAAAAAAAGGACTTGTGTCAATGAATGAATGAGGCTTGTAGTAAGAAAGTGTTTTGAGTGCTCAAAGCAAGTAGAACAGCATGTTATAAGTACAAAATGGTCAAGTGCCCTTTTGTGTCAAAGGTGTTAGTGTGAATTTACTGTACTGCTAAAATGTCACCTTCATCTATGCATGATGATAATGGTTGACATGTGACATGGCACTCAGAGGTTTTGGCTTCAAATTTACTCATGGCATCTACAAAAGACATTCTTCAAATTTTATCAGGGACAGGTGAGTGGGTCTCTTCTGCTTAATCCTGGAGTGTAAACACATTTTTAATTCCAATTTGGAGAATGACTGCTTAGATGAAGTAAACACAGGGATAATGCCAAGCAAGGGCGTAGATTTGGTATGGACGGAAGGGACATGTCCCCACAAATATCCATCGATTATTGAATGTCCCCACCAATAATTTGATCTCTTCGAATAAAGAAAAACAAAACCCATAGAAATAAATAAAAAAAAGCGATCTGTCAGCGTCTCATTCACCCAGCGGTGCAGAAAGAGTTAAATTACTTCTCTACTGGAGTCCTACGTCATGTGACAAATATGGCCAATGTGATTGGCTGTGCCTTTCAGGGAGCTCTGTTTAGTTTTAGCAGCGGCAAGCCTGCGCTGCCAGGACCTGCAAGGAGGAGAGGAGGATGGCAGCAAAAAGAACCTGGATATAAGAAAGTATTTTTCAAAGAAACCTGTAAGTCCCTTAAAGTCAAGTTCACTCATAAAACCTGTCCATCATAATAACGTTACAGGCTATGCAAGGCAATACATGCCAACCCTCCCGTTTTTTCTGGGACAATCCTGAATTTCAGTGCCCCTCTTATTACTCTTTCTGGGTTGCAAAATAAACTTTTACAAATTTTTCAGGCGAGAATGTAGCTGTGCAAACTTCAAATATCTAGAACAGCAAACCCCCGGCACATCGTTTTAGGCTTTGGCCCACATCAGTCTAAAATTGTATGTAACCATGAATAACGTGTTGCCATGTCCACCAGGAGAGACTGGACAGTATAGATGTAAAACAAATATGCCAGCAGTTTACCTCAGTTAATGAGAGGAGAAGGCATGTGTGTGGCTCCTTCACATAGTGGACATTGAGTTGTTGTGTGGGACACCAGTAGTCCATGTCTGTTGCTGTAACAGTAGTTCATGTTTAGAGTAAAACATCCCAGCTCACTGACTTGATCGGGGCAATAGTGCCTAAAATGTTGCATAATTTTGCTAAGAGATCTGTTACTTAGTTTTATGGACAAAAACCACCAGGTCATTCAGTGTTCCCTTAGTGCTAACGTATAAGAGATGTTGGTGTAATATAACTGAAGTAATGTTGTTAAGTCCTTAAAGTCATATTCTTTTATTGTCATGACTGTATTTGAAGCCATTTTTATGTTTGTATGATATCTGATTTATATGGAATATGGTTGAAGTAAACTAAAGTATAAAATACTTAGTCAGTCATTTGTTTAATAGTAACTTAACATTATATAATTCACATATAAAACTATGAATTGTAATTTTAAATGGTTTAAAAGCATGTAGAATAGCATATGTAGGCAAGTATATTTCTCCTCTTTTTATCAAGAAAAAAAAGGAAACAGGGCAGGGTTCGGTGGTTGAATCATCCGTCCCCACCAATGCCAAAACCAAATCTACGCCCTTGATGCCAAGAGTTCTCAGGTGAATGAAGCATTTTTGAGAAGGTGACATTTTGTCTTATTAGGGTTGAATGGGTGAGAATTTTAAAGGATTTCCTGTATGCACCAAGGACTACTGTAAGGAGTGTAGACTGTGACAGACAGAGGTCATCCGTTTACAGCATGTCACTTTAAATAAGACGTCATTATGAAAAAAGTAGTTAAGTGGTTTTTGTCAAAGTTTACAATATAAATATTCTGGTTCGTCACATTAGTTTTTAATATTTATTAACCATTAAAGACTGGAAATATTATCACAAAGACCAGTTTATAAGTTCGTAAAGACAAAAAGATTACAAAGATAAAAAATGAACTACAAACATAAAAATTAAAACTGACTTTTTTTCTGACATCTATCAAAAAAAGTGTAATAATGAAGTAATGCAGCAATAATGAAGAAAGTAATTATGATATCACTGAAACGGAATGTCAAGCAGAACATGAGGAAACCATAATTACCTTAGCGAATATCAAATTTTACCAATATTGTGTCGTTTACAGCTATAGATTTGTTTTTCACTCTTAGTTGAAATTTTGCCATCACCAAAACACCCCAGTGACTCACAGCAGAGAACTACAAAATCCCAATTCACTCCAGAATGAAATCTGTAATAAATGGAGATGAGATAAATCTTACTTTGCCTCGTGTCTAAATTCTAAAATAGTTCTGAAGTCTTATTTAAAACAAACAAAATTATATGTCTCATTGTCTCTCTGACTGACCCACTCATACTGTCCTCCTCTCATCATGCCCACAGCCCTGCCACACTCCTCAGTCTTTCCCTCTCTGCTCCACTTCTCATAGCAGACCAGCTTGTCATTGACCCAGAACCACAGATCCAGAGTGCAGGAGTAGCGCAGGCCGAGCCAGACAAAAGGACTCGAGGCATTCTTGGCTCTCACCTCTGCCCATCTCTGTTGGTAAGGGTTAGTGATGGAGACCAGTCCCCTGTGAGACTCTCTGCAGTAATCCAAGGCCTCCTTCCAGGTTTTGTTTTCTTTGATCAGGATCAGTTTATCTGCCATAAAGAAAAAAAACAACACATTCCGTTGAATCTAGTGAGCTGTAAACATGAGAAACTCTCTGCGCTGTTTATTTTGTTCCAATAATAAAAAAATAAAAAATAAAAAAACCTAGAAAAAGCGTGTGTTACTCTGCCCTCAGTAGAAAACAGTATAATAATGTTAATGAACTTTGTGCAGACAGGTCGACAACATCCTGAAATATTTATGTTTTTAAACTATTAGGAATCCAAAACAACTTCTCTCCATATTTACAGACAACAGAGACTTTAAAACGTTGGTTGAACCTACCAGTAGCTCAAAGTTATCCCACAGATATTTAAAGTCATCTGACTGTCAACTAAGTGTGTTCATGTTTATGAGATAAATTCAGCAAACATGCAGATGTAGGTGGAGAAAAAATACACAACATGTTCAGTTGGATCTTGTCAGTGATTCCAGTGATCCTCCTTTTAGAGAAACCAGTCAGACACATGTTGATAAAAACTCACCATCATAACAGAAGAAGGGTTTTTCTTTGTCACATTCATCAGAGCTCCATTTTCCTGATCTGTTTAACAGAGTCATAGCACATTTCTTGTTGCTTTGTTCATCATTGAATAACTGCATATCCCAGTATCTGAAAGAGGAATTACTCCTATCTGACCACCTCCAGCTGTCTCTGAACAGACCCATCCACACACTCATGGTACGGCCAATGAACAGAGCCTTCATTTCTTCTCCATCTACCTGATCGAGTCCACTGGCCAAGTCAGTGTGATGGTATCTGCAGTAGTTCTGAGCCTGTGTCCAGTTCTTCTTCTCCTCAATCAAATTCAATGTTTTCTTGTCTTTCTTCTTTTCTGTAAAACAAACAGAAAAACACACAAAGACATCCCTCAATAATTTCTCACCTGAAATTCTGTCTGTCTCTATCTTCTCACTTCACAATTATGTGATTGCATTATATTTTTATATCATGATATTATAATATTATTTAATATTATTCATATCTCCTCACCATCATAGCAGATGAACCATGTAGTATGGTTGCATGAAACTTCTGCCAGCTTGTCTCTTTTCCTCCCACAGTTTCCAGGCCCAGGTTCAGTACCGTATCTTCCATTCAGATTCCAGCTGCTGTCATTATGAATGTATTCCACTCCTGGCAGAGACCAATGCCACGTCCTGTTTCCACCTGTGTTGTTGTTCAGTCCAATCCAGGCTTCTCCTTGATTCTGTGCGGAGTTACGGAGTCTGCTCATGTCTGTCATGTCAAACACTTTGGCCAGGTCTGTATATTTCTCTCTGCAGTATCTCTGTGCTTCATTCCAGCTCTTTTTTTCTTTAATAAAGTGGTACTCATACAGGCGGCATGTAAAGAGGCAACACTGACCTGAAATACAGAAATATGATAAACATAGTCTGACTGAAGAAATTAAATATTACAGGTTAACATCGTTACATAAATGAGACTCTGACTGTAGTGAATGGGCAGATGTGAGAAGACTGAGTGAATCTAAGTTAAAGTCTTTTATTTGCCAGTTGCATACATACAATAGGTCCAGGTACATGGGCAATCTTGTACAGAGCTGAGAATAACAGTCAAATAAATACAAATACAAAGACACACTTACATATATGGTATATAACAAAGTGCCTACAGAGGTATTATATAGGATTATTGATATTTTTTTCTTAACAGAATAAAATGGGAAAAAAAACATGTCAAGTAGTTCATTTATATTCATAAATATTCTATATTCATTTTATTTAAATTAAAAAGAGTATATTTGGTAAACAATCCACTTACCCATCAAAATAAGCAGATACAGACTCCACTGCATCTTTGATCTGACAGATGAAACTGATGTTTTATTACTCAAGGAAACAAAGATTTAAACAGAACTTCTTTTTTTTCACTTTATGTCAGATGAAAGAAAAGATGGATCAATACAAGATGGTAGGAAATATGGAGTACATGTGAAAAAGACCAACATACTTAAAGAAAAATAGTGTGAACTATTATGAACCAGAACAGAAACTGTTTTTTAAATAATTCAGCAGCTCATGAACAAACTGATAAAATTAATGATATTACTAATCTTGAAAGCTCTTTTTTATTTAATGCTAGTTCATCTTTTCAGTAAGAGTTGAGGTAACATATTTTTTAGTTTTGTTTTTTTTAGTATCACACCTGACAAGATATTTCAGATATTCTCTACACATCACCTCTGCACCACATACATAAAATATATTACAGGTTTTAAACTTACATGTTATAATTTCTTCTCTATTCGGTGTGTTCACGAAGACAGCTCTCAAGTAGATATTGATATACAGTAAAGAGAGCTCTTTTTTGTCAAGGTTAGGATTTGAATATCAAAGTACAAGAGTGTGACTTTCCCCTGAATGAATGATCCACTGATGAAAGGAATTTGTATGTTCCAGTTATGAAAGGCGTCATTTACTTTGCACTACTAACTGTCCACCAAGCAAGAACCTATAAACATATCGTCCTTATCTGTGTTGCTTAATAACTTCATCCATTATGTTAAACTGGGTGTGAGGCACAGTTAGAACTTGATCTGCTCTAGAAAGTACAGGATATCACTGCTTCAGCTGCAGCTACTCAGACATCATGGCAGGAGGCTGCAACCAACAAATGAAGGCATTTATCCAATCCAGTCTACTAATTTTTAATCCAAACCACACCTAAAACTGTCTTTCTGGGTACATTATTTTTTATATACAGTTACTGGTGTTATCAGTTTATTCAATTTAGGTTATTAGCCCCATAGAAATGAGTCCGATAAGATCTAAAGCAGGTGTATGTAACGATCACTGCTGAGTGATTGCCACTCTAACTGTCAAACAAATCAAAAAAATTGTTGAGCCAGCAGATTGACTCATAGACCCGAATAAAGAAAACTGAATGGAATTTCTGCTCTGCTTCAAGTTTTCAGGTTTGCTTTGATTAAGATAATCATCTTGTACTTGGTGAAATGATACAGGATTCTTGGATTACCTGGATAAAATTTCAGCTTCCAACATTTAATTTTAATAAAATTGTGAATGGAGGCACACTAGACTGAGTATCTAATTTTACTTCTGCTTTTGGTTATGTGCAAATTGTAAGCAAATGCTCAGTGAAATAATGACCTTATATTTCGTGGCATGCTTTTATTATTGTTTTGTTTGTTGTTTTGACTGTGTTGCTGTATGGACTATGCAGTGGAAATGTAAAGAGTGATGATTGGTGAGAGTTTTGCCTGGGCGCCGATCCATTGGTAGTGCCTCAAGGTAATGCTTCGCGCGTCTCCTCCTTCACTCAATACAGACGAATGAGAGCGAGAGCTGTGTGTCAGTATTATTCATTCATTTCTCCTCACTGCTTCCCCTGTTTAAGGTAACTGCCATCCACAGAATGCTATAAACGTGGCAGCATGTGTTACTGTTAACTGTTAGCCCATTATCATTGTTCATCAAAAGGAAAGAGGTGAATTGTGGACTGTTTTTGCTGAGTTGAACTCCGTTGCATGCTTTCTCTATTGCTCCACCATATTGTGTCATGATTTTTCTGTTACTACTACTTTTCTACCACCAGCTTGGCCTTGGGTCAGTTCTCTGTACTCCCTGTCGTCGATGTCAGTGATGAGGCAGACTATTGCAGAGTCATCAGAGAACTTCTGCAGGAAGCATCATCCTCTTCAATGCCAGGTTGGTAGGCAAACTGAAGTGGATCCAGTGATGAGCTGAACAGGGGCCGAAGCTTATGATCTTTCTGTTCCAGCAGATTTCTCAGCTGTTTTTTAACACTGAGCCTGTTTCTCTGTGCACTTTGGCTGGAGTGGGACCCTCTGTCCAGAAGTCCAGTTGCAAAAAAATCTGGGAGTGTTCTTTGATGGCAATTTTTTTATTTGAGAGAAACAAATAAATTCTGTTATTTATTTGGCTCAGGCTCCTTGCAAAAATTAAGAACATTTGGTCATCTGTTGACTTCAAGAAAGTGATTTATGCATTTATTTTATCCAAGTTGACTACTGTAATAGTCTTTATTTTGGTATCAGCCAGACTCTGCTCTCCCATCTTGTTCAGAATGCTGCAGCCCGACAGTTTACAGGCACTCTTAAACACAACCATATTTCCCCAATGTTTCTCATTCACATTGGCTTCCAGTATGTTATAGAATTGATTTTAAGAGTTCATTGCTTGTTTTTAAGTCTCTAAATGGACCCTCCTACCACTTTGATTTTTAAACTAAAAATACTCCAAATAGAATTCTTAGGTCAGCTGAAAAGTTTCCTAAACTGGAATAGTCTGCTTCTTCAAATTATTACCTCTCCAAAACTCAGCATTTGTAAACCTCGTCCAGAAACACATCTTTATTCTGTAGCTTTTAATTGTTAATGAGCCTTGTTTTGTTTTTTCTCTGTGTGTTAGTTTTACTTTTACAGCACTTTGGGAGACCTGTGTTGTTGTTAAATGTACTTATAAATAAACTGATTGATTGACTGAAACTGACCATCATGAGAGTATTCCAAAGAGGACATGAAATATTTCCATCCATTATCCAGAACTCTCTTCTACATAGCACAAAACAACAATGAAGAATGTGTGCATCAAATTCACTAGTGGCATCTAGTGGACAAATAAGAAATGACAGTCTTGATGTCATTATTATTATTATTATTATTATTATTATTATTATTATTATTAATGATAATAGTTGATATTTTACATTCTATTTATATTTTCTATTTTTTAAATCTAGTTATAGATTTTAAAGATATCTACTTATCAAATATATTTGTGGTAACACCATGACAAAAAATGCAAAAAAAAAAAAGTTCCTAAATGACAGTCTCTTTAATTTCTGTCCATTTAATGTCATAAATTATATTACATACATCTTTTAAATGGCATACAGCGACTCCTGAAGACCACAATATAAGAAGTCTGAGTAGAAAAAGTACAAAATGAAACAAATGATTGAGCAGATTGAAATAGTTACAAAAAGGATCTGTAAAACAGAGCTACAAAGAGTAAGTAAGTAAACAGTTTGTTGATACAATAAGTGATGGACAATCAGCAAAAACACAACAAACAAGCAGAACTCGTAATCCATCCTTTGGTCAACTATTATAACAAACAGCATTTATAGTTAGAGCTGTGGGAAGGGGGTGCTGTATGTGTTTATACAGCGGTGGAGTGGACCACAGCTGTACACAGCAGAAAAGAATCAGCAGAGTCCAAATGTCACAGATACAGAGAGTTCAAGTATTCCCGTCTTGCAACTCTTAGGACAGCAGTCAAAGCATATTCGCACAAAGTTAACGTAATATTTTAAAGTCAACTTTCAACAACAGGGCCCCTGTGGCTTAGTTGCCAGAGCAAGCCATCTGCTAATGGCAAGGTTGGTGGTTTGATCCATGGCTCCCCTTAAACTGTGTGTCATAGATCCTGAGTCCTGAATAACCCCCCAAGCCCCCAAGGCTTGTAGTAAAAGTGAGTAGAAAAGCACATACATACACTTATATTATTTTCTTAAGGATTAATAAAGTATTCTGATTCTGATGCATACATACACCAGTCCATGCACAACAAAGTCAAGTTCCCTGTTGCATCCAAGGGATTAATGTCAAACTACTTCTTAAAGTTACTTTCATCTAGGTGCAAGATTTTAATGCTCCCAAAAATTGGCTAAAAGCTGATTTTGAATAATGCACAACCTCCAGCTGGTGATCAGTACGTAACATAATTTGATTGTAATATGTCCTAACGTTTTTCTTAAAGAAACAGGAATAGTGTCTAAAGTGTTTCAACACGCCCAGACCTCCTAGTTTCCAGTGTTCTGTTTTTCCCGGGTTAATAATTTTCTGTAATTTCATTGTTCATATTGTTTCTGTAAAATCTATACATTTCCACTGTTGTATGTATGACCTATTTTTACTTTTCAAATGTTAAAATCTAGAAAAATAGTACATAAAAGATAAAACGTTTTGATGCCTCAGTCAGAGGATTTTCATTAAGGCATGTTATAGTAACAAATGTTGAAATTTGGCAGATGAAATGCCCGATGGGCAGGTAAGCAAACTGTTACTGCACACTGAATAGAAAATATGGTACATAAAAACCTGAGTCAGGTGATCTTCGTGCATGTTATAATGAAAAATGTTGAAAAATTAAAAATGTTGAAATTTGGACAATCTTGGAAAATCTAAGAAAACTCATCAGAAAAAACATTAAACTGTTACTGCACACCTGGACACATATATTGCTTACCAGTGATGCATTCACTGCACCAGATCCAGTACATGTGATTACTACTGTTTTTGCACAGCAGTGATAATCAAAGGATTGCTGTTTTTCTCATTTTGTTTCAGATGTGGACTGAAGTATGGAAGGATCTCACCACCAAACGAACACTCAGTTAATGAGTAGATGTGAGACTGAGACGTGACATCGTAAAAGGACACGAGACCTTCCTCATAATCTACAAACACCCCAACTTTCTGAGGTTTCTCTTTAACCGAAAGGCTCACGGGTGGTTTTTGTCAGGACTGCATATTTCTGGTCTTCATAATGTACAGTAGCCCAGCAACCGTTGTCAGGATTGATTGAGAGTTTCCCCTTGTGGTTTGCATCATGTCTCGCCAGATCCAGATCCCACCTGGTCTTTTTGCTGACCTCCACCTCCCAGTATGCCCTGCCAGAGGACAGCCTGTTGAGCCCCAGGATACTTCCAAACATATTAAACCTTTGCAGAGAATCAGGATCTTTCGACATCTTTCCACCATCTCTCACTTTTTTCCCAATTATCAGAAATTTCAAGGCTTTGGTGTGCGGTCGCCGGGTCCAGCTTCACGTCCACTGCAGTCAAAAGAACACAAGTGATTAAAAAAACAGGACCGTGTGGTGGGTAGAAGTGTGGAAGCATCACAAGAGTTATGGATAAACTACAATAGAAGACTCCCCTTACTTTATTTACTTTTTCTATTAAACATTTCAGCCAAAGCTGACCCAAACATGGTGGTAAGTATTGCTATGGAAACATTAGTAACAACAGGTTTGTCCTCAGTAAGAAATAATATTTGTATATGAAATCTTAAGGAGATGAGATATGAGCATGCATGATACCCTAACCGTTCCCTGAACTTTTTTTCACATCTTCCTCCGGATAAAGCAATAAAGAGAGGTTTCACACTATCGACAAGCAGCTAGGCTAACAAAAGAGCATCAGGGCATTGTGTTCGCCATGCTGACCCCTTGAGGTCTTGTCATCATAACAAGTAAACACTACTTACTTATGTTAGCTAACTCACTATTTAATTTTTTCATTGGTAAATAAACAATATATTAATATTTTTTAGCTAATAACTGTGCTAATTTTCCAATATTTTATTCACATAACTCCTGAAATCTTACAGTACTGAATCACAGTGCATTAATTTTGTTGAGTTTGCTGCTCGCCAAGAGGTGTCAAATATCGTTCACGTGACAAAATGTGAGAGTAATAAAATGTGCCCGAGCTAAACGTGTTCATATCCTTAAAAATAATTATTCATGTTTTTCCATAGACCCTTTTTTCAGGGGGGGAAGTGATTGCAGTTAAGTGAGCAGTTTTAGAAATATATAAGCAGACAAATTACTGTGGGGCAATTTGTTTCCACAGTGACACAGTTACAGTTGAGGAGGAGAAACTTTATGCCCGATGACCAATCATCACCATCAGCTAGATAATGAGTGAAAGTAATCGCTACAGACGATGTTAAAACTCATCTTTGCCATTTGTTTCTTAAATAACTTTGAAAGAGTACATTAGAAAATTATGTTTTATTTTGGAAGTCTACATATTAATTTTGACTGCATCCAACTAAACCTTAACAAGACGAGTTCAATTCTGGAAAACAATAAGAGCTGAAGGCTTTTTTTATTTTGGAATTTGAGAGAATCCTGCTAAATTTCTATAAAGCTTTGGTTTTTATTTTAAAATTTCACAACTTTTAAAGCCTATTAATTTTCCATTACAAGACCTACTGCTGTTCATCAGTATGTATCTGTATTAAACATCAAAATTCAAAACAATCACATTTTTTCATTTAAATAAGGTTTTCATTTTGAAATACACACCTGCAAATTTTGTAATCCTCCTGAGTTCTGTGGAAACAAACATTTTACTAAGTGGCAATAAATCAGAAAATACAGATTTTAATATAAGTATAACAAAATGATGGGCGCACCGATGGATGAGAGTTTTTCCAGTTTGTCGTGAATTTGCTTCATCATGGCTGAAGTCGTAGTTCTCAGTGTGCCAAAGGAGAGTGAAGTGTCAACATTTTTCCAGTCAGTAGATTCATTCAGGCCTGTTAGTGGCGAAACCTGTGTGTGCACACAGTAAATATCAGCGTATGACAAGATTAGATTTAATGAGTTTAACGAAACAGAATTTCCAAAGTGCAGAAATGCACTTTTATGCTGAGATGTTAAAAAGACCAGAAGATGGACTTCAGGTACTCAAAGCTCACCTCCAAGTCTGGGTTTTTGGGTGCTTCAGCAATGGCCTTTTTGAGCACATCAATTTCTCTTTGCAGCTTCTGGATGATATCCTGAGCATCTCCTTTCACTTTCTGTCTCCTAAACAGTATTTAAGAGAGTAAAATGTACAGCTCTATAACAGCACACTGGCAATGTTCAGCTGCTCTCCACTGATAAACTAACAGTACCAACCTCTCCTCCAGAGGCTTAAGGGCTTTCTTTCGAGCATCTTCCACAACTCTGATAGCCTCTGAGAAGAAATTATTGACTTCCAACCATTCGGCATCCAGAGTACCCTGAAAAGAGAGTGGATGTGTTAAAGTAACATCAAAGCAAGAAACCAAACGAATGAAAAATAAATAAACATCCTTACCTTGCAGTCTATTTCCGATGATCTGACTTCAGCCATCTTGAGCTCTCTGATGTGAATTTTCTGCTGCAAATCAGATTTCATCTTTTCCTGTTTTGCCTTGAAAGAGGAAAATGGCTCAGAGTCAAAGGTCTCATGATAGAAGGACACATCCTGGTCAAAAATGACTCCAATGTTTCTCACAGTGTTACTGGAGGCCAAGGTAATGCCATCCAGAGTAAGAATCTGGTTAGATATCATATTTCTAAGATTTTCAGGGCCGAGTAAAATAACCTCAGTTTTATGTGAATTTAGAAGCAGAAATTTAGAGGCCATCCAGGTTTTTTGTGTCTTTGCGATATTTCTGCAGTTTAACTAAATGTGGATACTAGGGAGGTTTAAAGCTAGAGGTGTGGTGGCTTTGACTAAAAGGTGTGCAAACACATGCAGCAGTAGCCTGTAACACTCTGTGAGGCTTTACTTCCACTACTATGAGTGTATGAACTGGACCTCCAAGCAGTGTTTGTGCTGTTGGCACTTTTTGGAGCATTTTTAGAATTTTTTCAGTTTTAGTGATTGAAAATTCTACTAATTATTACATTGTTACTCAGAACCACTATTTTAACAACTATTAAAACTGCATTACCTTTTGTAGTTTTTTAGTCTTCTTCTCTTTCAGCCTGTCTATGTCCTTTTCTTTTTCTTCGGGGCAGATTGCTGCGTGCTGGGCTGCTTTCCCAGGAAGCTCCAAGAGTTGTACCACCTAAAATATGAAAGCAGTAAGTAATGAAATTAATCTTTATACAGTTTAACTCTTAGCAAAATTGTTTCACATTTATACTAAAACCATATTTTACATGCATCTGAATAACTGTACTTAAGAAATCTGCAGTACCTGCTGTCCACCAGTAGAGAAGTCCAGAGCTCGACGGGCTTTGTCTGAGCTCACGGTGCTTTGATGAGAGCGCTGAGGAGTCTCAAAGACTGCAGAGGAACAAGAGAGTTATTACCAAGCAAAGCTGGCTTGAACTATCATCAGCTGTGAAGATTGTAATGCGTACATGATGTGTCTGTCTCCATCTTTGTGGTTGTGTTGTCTGTGTGATCACTGTGGTTGCTGAAGGTCTGTGACACAGACATGAACACAGACTGTAAAAGGAAAGTAGAAGTGGAGATTCAGTGGGTGTCACTTGACAAGTTGTCCTAACACTTCTTTGATATGTTTGAAAAGAAAATCTGTGTACCTGTGCACCAGAGCCTAAATCAAGCCCCTGATCTTCGCCCATGTTTGAACCTGTTGGCACAGACTGTTGCTGAGTTTCAACCACTGTAACAAAAGAGGATTAATGGTTAAATTAAGCCACCTTGCTTTTTTGGAGTGTTGTCATTATGAACTAACTAAATGAAAATGCATACATGATTTAATTATCTCTACTGCAGAGGCTTGTCTGGCTGGAGAATCGATTTGGGGGATGAAGCTTGATGGCAGAAACATATTCTGCTGGAGAGAACAGATGTGATTATACAGTTCGATGCTAATCTAGTGTAATTTCTCATATTTTGGTGAAAAAGCCATACCTCCTCCTTGACTGAAGGACTGAAAGTTGGTCTGCTGCACTTTTGATGAGATTCTTCTTGATGATTTCTCCAGAGTTGAACTTTGTTCTCTTCCAGTTGATTTTGTGTAGATCTCATCCCTCCCTGGAGATCTCCGAGGTCCTGATCAACTGTGATTCTGGGCCAGCTGTAGTAGCTTGAGTTTGAATCTGTTGTGTTTGTGTGACACATTAAGGAACGATTATTTTAACTCTTCCTGCATATTCTTTGTTTATTTTTTAGTAAATCATTCCTTAACAATGTGAGAATACACTGTAACGAACTGTCAAAGTGACAAATTTATCCTCTGCAGCTGCACAAAGTGTAACTATAGGGCAGCAGTACAATCAGCGCACTCACCAGACTTCACAGAATTCTTGAAAATATCCATAAATGGGTCTGTTAATTTGATCTGAGGACTCAGGATAGTCACTGTAGGAAGGTAACTGAATTCTTCATGTTCAGGGATCCTCATTCCCTTTGGTGTACATCCCATCTTTCCCTGGTGAACTCTGAGGCCCTGGTAACTTGTCGTTTTGGACCAGCCACAGTGGCAAACCTGAAGACTCATTTTGGATGAGTTGAGTATCTGAAGTAGACAGAAAAGGGTGTAAACAACAGGGAAACCAGTAAGAGTTCAATTATTAAAAATACATGCACTGTTTAGAAAATGTGGTTTTAGATTTTAGGAATAATATGAGTAATGTGTGAATTATCAGTGAGGGTAGTTTATCACTAGTTTGCTTCAATAATTGATTTTAATGCTATTCTTTCCAAACAATTTGGTTATTATTGTTTGTCTTCTGCTAATGAAATTAAAAAAATATATTTTTTTCTTTTCTCATGATCCTAGAGTTTTGAGTTTTGGGGTGTTTTGCAGGTTTTTAATTTATTTATCTGTATTACAGTTCTGTATTGTTGACATTCTGGCTTTTTTATGGTTCACATCTTAGTCCTGTTCTCAGTGTTTGTTGCCTCATGATTAGTTTTGATAGTCCACGTATCAAGAGTGTTTTTCATTCAGTTTTGCTTCCCACTTCCCAGCCCGTTAGTCTGATTCCATTCAGCTGTGTTCCCTGGTGTTTTGCATCTCCCTGATTTCCTAGTATATAAACAATGTCTGAGTCCTCCTTTGTTCTTTGTCATTTTCTCCCTCAAGGTGTGTTTCCTGTGTGGTTCCAGCTTGTCTTGTTAAAGGCTTGTTGTGTGTTCATAGTTTCTGCTATGGTGTATACTCTACTTTTAGAAGAGTTTTTTTTACTATTAAAAGTTGTGCTTTTCAGGTTAAAAGTAACCTTTCAAGGCATTACTGCATGATGTCCTGATGTCCTTATATCAGAAAGAAATGATGACCATATTGTTTTTGCCCCTCAGTTACCCATCATTTCTCTGTTCCACTTTACAAGACAGACATATAAAATACTAAGACAAATATATTACCCCTTATATATAAAAATACTTTTTTTAAAAAAAGTGAAACTGTCAAAAATTACACCTCGGACTCGCTTGTGTTGCACAGTGATTAGGCGCCCTCTAGTGGCACTGAATGTGCAACAAAAAAACCCCACTGATATTACAGTTTTGTGTCTTAGTGTGGAGAGTTCATGTCAGTAAAGATATACATTAAAACTGTCACCATTCCACTGAGATTTTAAAAAACATTATCAAGCTACAACATGTATGTACTTATACATAATATTGAATAATTTAATTCAATTTTTATTTATATATCACAACAACAGTAGCCTCCAGACACTTTATATTGTAAGGTCTACATTATGAGGTATAATAATACATACAGAAATCAATCATATGACCCCTACGAGCAAGCACTTTGGCGACAGTGGGAAGGAAAAACTCCCTTTTAACAGGAAGAAACCTCCCACAGAGCCAGGCTGGGGAAGGGTGGCCATCTGCCTAAATAAAGCATAAATGTGGTGAAATATCGATCCTATACATAACACATAAATGGTAAATGGCCTGCATTTGTATAGCGCTTTTCTAGTCCCTAAGGACCCCAAAGCGCTTCACACTACATTCAGTCATTCACCCATTCACACACCGGTGATGGCAAGCTACATTGTAGCCACAGCTGCCCTGGGGTGCACTGACAGAGGCGAGGCTGCCAGACACTGGCGCCACCGGGCCCTCTGACCACCACCAGTAGGCAAACATGGGGTTAGTATCTTGCCCAAGGATATTTGGCATGCAGCCAGGAGGCAGCCTGGGATTGAACTACCGACCTCCTGATTAGTGGCTGACCTGCTCTGCCACCTGAGCTACAGCCACATAAATGTAATTATTGTTTTATTATTTTTACTAAACATTAAACATTCATTTTAAAACTCATCTCCCTTTCAAACTTTGACCACACATATAACACATAATTATAGGCAAACACTCACGCCCTGACATTTAATCTGGACTAGAAGGAGTTAAAATGACTCTCCAAGAGTAGTATTTGCATTTCAGGTTGGTTTGTTTATTCCTGTCATGGAAAGAAAAGCAGCCTAGTGGAAAAAAAGCTTAGCACACACCGTGCAACCTGCGGTTTAATTTTATAGCCATGACAGCTTCCTTATCCTGAAAAGATCTGTGTAATTAACTGAAGTTTTGTTGTATAAGTTTGTATGCATGTGCACAGATTCGGCTTATATAGGGTTTTTTTCTGGGATTTCGCGCAACCCAGGAAAAAAAAAATTAATACATAATGGGCTTGGAGTGACAACATTATGAATGAAATGAGCTTTATTTGGAAGCACACCCCCCCCACAGGTTGTGTGTGAGACTTCAGCACAGCAGCAGCAGCAAGTAGGCGCACCGAGGACCCTCGCGCTCAATTTTCGAGTATATCTGTGTGATAGAATTTAGAAAACACATCGGTGCAAATTACAAGTCTGGTGTTTTTGTGTCCGTTGGTTTGTTTTTGTTTCGTGAGCTGGTTATTATACCGCTACACCGAGCCAGAGAATACCTCGCCGCCCCGCCCCTCTCCTCCCTGTGCAGCAAGCAACAGGCGCACCTCGCAAACGGAGGGCGCCCTTACTCGCCACAAATGGGCAATAGAAAACTGACTAGTACCCATGCAAGCACAAAAATGCGTTGGCAGCATTGGTGCCAGCAACTATTTTTGCCGATGCCCATAATCCCGCCCCCACCATGTCGCCTATATCAAAACCCCCAACTGTATAACGTTGTGTGCTGCACTCTACAAACTACGAGTTAACTAACAACTTTTTAGATTTTATTTCACATGCAAGATGACGTCACAGCATCTACACAAAATAAAATACATATAAAACATATATATAATACTTATAGTATTATACAAAGGAGTAATGATTTAATATAATCTGATTCTTCTACAAACAAGGCTTTCATTCATGCAGGCACGAGAGTGAGTGGGTCAGTGAGACTGTCGTGTTATTTTATCATGAAGCATTTCAAAAAGTTCAAAGTAACACCAAAGTGCAGAGCAGCCTACCTGCGCTCCTGCGTATCTCGATGCTCCTCTGTGAGATCTGCTTTCTCCACACTCTGCTCCTCTCTAATAAAGATTCAGCAGTTTCAGTTTCCTTTCGGCAAAATCAATCCCGAAACTGTGAGGAGTTGCGACATATCACTGCGAAATACTTGGTTACTGGAAACGTCATGGAAAAGAAATAAACAAATAAACGTCATGAGGAAAAAAAGGGAACAACGTTCATTCATTCTTTAAGAAAAACGAGAGAGAGAAAAAAAAACCCAAATACAAACAGTTGACATATAGATGCTAAAATCTATTTTTGATACCTAAAGTGTAAAAGTGGAGGTGTTTGTCACACAGGTGGGGCTTTGTGTGCAAAGGACACTCCTCATTTAGCACGCAGGTCATTTAAAAAAATGTTTTTTTAAGCTAAACACATAAAAGTGTCATATCCTCCTCACTGGACAATAAAGAAGAGAGAGGCAGAGAGATAGATGAGTTTATTTATTTTCCATTTCCAGCATGAAGCAAAAGCAATATGTGACAGCAGACTGGGACTGAATGATTTACCATTGACACCCGGGTAGAACCCCTGCACCTGCTTCAAACATGGCACTTAAAGAAAAAATATAATAAAAACAAATGCACATATACACAAACCAGTTCACAAAAAATACCACACCCATGTATACTGATGGCTAGCAGTGGCACCATCTTCTTCAACATGCAAACTGAGATAGGGGTGAAGTTCCCCAGTAAACACTCTTTGGTTCCTCGTAACTCAAAAAAACTCCAACGTTTGTGAGGTTTTTCTTTGGGCAAAGGAAGCAGATGGTTCTGTGAGGACTGTGCAGACTTTGTCATCTTTGTGCGAATCATTTTGGGGGTTTTGTGAGAGGTTCTCCTTATGGCTTGTGCTTGCTTTTATTACACCCAGATGCTTGTGTTGCTAACCTCCACCTCCCAGTAAGGTTTCCCAAAGATTTTCCAGTAAGATTTCCCCTTGCCTCTTGTTTTTGTACAGAGAAAGTGATCAGGCTTTTTCTTCATCTCCTGACACCAGCTGAACTCTTTCCTTGTGTTGGTCATTGCTGTGCAGGAAAAACAAAGTATGTGATCACAGGTGAAATAAGGGATTGTTTTCCCAGTGCAGGTTTAGAGTGTTTCATTTTGTGATAGCCATTGATCCATTTTTCAAATAATCTCTAAGGATCTGACTTTTTAAGAAAGACACAAATATCTCTGCTTATTATTTGGCTAACAGTTTAAAATAGACATAGCATTTTATAATAAGTTAACAGCATTCCCACAAAGCACCCCTGCACACCAGCATTGCACTTAAATTATACTTTAATTAAGATATAGTTATGATTTAATCACAAAAATATGACTGGCTCAGCATTACATGAATCAAATTTTTAAACTGATGTTGGAGTGAGAACATTGTTACAGGGAAAATGTGTCTGTCTGCAGATATTAACTAAACATCTGTATGTAGTACGAAATGGACATAATAATAATAAATATGCTAAAGTGAAAATAAACTTAACTGAAACTCAATACTCTTACAAACTAAATAGTTCCCAGAAATAAAAAGAATTAAGTAAAGCTTATTTAAGATGACTATGTTTGGACAACTTATTCATTGCACGTATACAGTACTAAGAACAACTTGATTTTAAGTTTCTGACTGTACAACACTAATTGTTTACTGACTGACAAACATTTTAAGTTCCACTAAATTAAAGAACAATTTGTGGTCATTTTTTAATCACATTTCTTTATTATCCTTGAAATTTCTAGTACAATACTTAAATTAATATAACACTGTATGCAAATAAAAAATAATTAACACCACTTCTTGTAATGGTGTTAAAATCAGCCCAACTTTTATTTTCAAATCCAAAACGTACATCAGCCAACATGCTAGACGTTGTTCTGCTGAAAAACAAACAACATTGCCACTATTGTTATAATCTTACAATGAAACAAAGTCTCAGATTTAATTTCTGTAAAACTAAGTTTAGGCTTTCTACAACTTTGTTTTTCTAGTTACATTACTTATATTTTCAAAATAAAATGTAATTATTGTGTAGCCGCAGGTGCTTGTTTCCAGTCCAGGCATTACTGCCTGAATGACTGTCATGGATTTAGGTGATCCAAACGTAAGTGGAACACAAATGGGACAAATATGACATAGTGAGACAAAGGAGGAAGAAAACTATATACACTGCACACAGGACAGGGACTACCAAAATAAAACAGGACACATGAGACATAGACTGAAACGTGGACTTGACACTGTGACTGGGTAAGAACAGACATGAGAACACAACTAACTTGACATGACTCATGGAACACAGAGGAGGCACAGTTACAAAGCCTCAAGACTAGAAACTAACAAATATAACAGGGGAGAATTAAGGAAAATAGAAATACAAATAACAATGCCAAGAACAATGCTAAATCAAAAAATTATTCAAAAACAGAAACACATAAACACTGGGTCCCCAGACTCAGAGCAATGAAAAATTTGATCTGTGTTAGCTACAATAGGATTATCACTTGCCCCTGCATACACTTCAAAAATTTTATAGAGCCCATAAGCCAATGCTTCCTTCTCCACTATCGAGTAGTGTGGACCACAGAAGCCACCACAGGCCTACAGGACTGTTTTGACAACACGGTTTGGGGTATATTTGCAGAAGGAACAGAATTGTACTCTCATACTCTCATACATACTGAGAGTGTAACAACAACAAAGACTGTTAAAGTGTTCTCATCACCATCTTCAACCTCTCACTGCTACAGTCTATTATACCATCCCGCTTTAAGTCAGCCACTCCAGTGCCCAAGAAGAACATGGTGAGCTGCCTGAATGACTATCGCCCAGTCAAATGCTTTGAGAAACTTATCGGCGGCCTAACTCCCAGCAAATGGGTGATAGAAAACATGAGTACGAGCAATTTTTTTTACATTTTGTTTTGCCGATGCCCGTGACGCCCCCCACAACGATGCCGCCCCAGGCAACCGCCCGTGTCGCCCGTATCAAAAACCGCTACTGCCTGCATCTGAACACAGCCAGTAACCTTTTAACAAGTCAAATTTACTGACAAATTTTGCTGAGACTATCCCGTCCACACAGTCATTGACACGTGACAATGGAAAGAATCCATCTTTGTGACCTGGTTAACTTTACGACAATCGGTGCAGGGTTGAAAGGTCAGATCTGGTTTTTGTACAAGCAAGCATGGGGATGATCAATTTGAACATGAAGCAATATTATCAACATGTACTTCACTTCAGACTTCAGTTGATCCTGTTTTTCCAGTGAAGTGTGATAGAAATGCTGCCAAACAGTCAACATCAATGCCATACCCAATTACTTGGGTAACCAAGGGGGTGTCAGAAAACAATTAGTGAAAAGAAAGTGTTAGCTTCTTCAATTCTTCCTTGTTAGACTCTGCTAAGTGTCCCAACAAAGCATCCAAGTTACTGAGCAACTCAGAGTTTTTCAGACATCCCTGTAAAATGGACGAACATTCCTCCCCAGTTTCGACCCTCCCACTAACCAACCCCTCTGAAAGAGCTGCCACAACAATTGATGTCACATCCTCTGCACCACATCCAGGAACATCGTAGAGATTTAACAGGTTTACATTAAAAAGTTGTGATTTCCTTCTGCGTTCAAGAGTAGCAACCAGATAATTTTGATCTGACACCTGCTGCAGTACAGAATATGGACAAGTTAATAACAGGAAGCAGTACCAACACTTTGTCCCCTGAACTAAACTCAAGTGTTTCAGCTCTACAGTAAAACTGATTTTTCATCTGTGTTCAGTTGAACTTTTGCTTGTTTTACAGCTTCATACAACCTCCTTCTAAAGCCATTAACATAGTCTGCCAGATTTACAGGAGGTGGGAGGGTCTTCCAGTCATCCTGTAAAACTGCTCCTGGACCCTGAACAGTGTGACCAAAAACCAATTCATATGGGCTGAACCCAGTACTACGTTGGGTGACTTCTTGCTAGCATGAGCCACGGCAGTCTCCCCTCCCAGTCAGGATCCAGTTCTGTATAATAAGCATACAACAAGAACATCAGGGTTTGATGGAATCTTTCAATAGCTCCCTGCCTTTGTGGATGGTTCTGAGGAGAATCTGCTACACGATAATAGAGGACCAGGTGAAGGGGAACTGTTTGATGAGAATCACAGGTCAGAATGAAGCTTATAATGGTTCAAGAAGCCTTATTCTAGTCACATCTGATCAAGCAAGATATCTAAAAAAATAACTATGAGAAAATTAGGTGAGTGTTTGTGACAGAAACAAATAAAAGTGCAGTAAAGTCAGAAGTGAATCTTGTAAAGATAAACTGTGGTTATTGGGACACATTTCAACTCAAAGGAGATAAAAGCAACATCACCCTGTTGTTACTGACACATTCACCTAAATGACAAATAAATAATAATATCAATTATTATTATTAGTAATAATAATAATAATAATAATAATAATAATAATACATTATATGTATATGCCACAAATTTATTTGTGGTAACATCATGACAAAAAAATGCAAAACAAATGTTGCTAAATGACAATTTTATTCATTTCTGTACATCTGATGTCATAAAATATATTACACAAATCTATTAAATGGCATACAGCGACTCCTGAAGACCACAATGTAAGAAGTCTGACAAGCAAAAGTACAAAATGAAACAAATGATTGAGCAGATTGAAATAGTTACAAAAAGGATCTGTAAAACAGAGCTACAAAGAGTAAGTAAGTAAACATTTTGTTGACACAGTAAGTGATGGACAATCAGCAAAACACAACATGAAGAACTCGTAATCCATCCTTTGTTATACAATTAAAACAAACAGCATTTATAGTCAGAGCTGTGGGAAGAGTGCTGAAGTGTCTGTGTGTGTGCATGTTTAGACACCTTTTTAGCACATGAAATTGGCATGATGCTGTACTTGTGGGGACCAACAGATCACTCAAGGGGTCAAAATGCCCAAAGCACCTAGGATTAGGTATTAATTTTTTGTGGTTATAAATAATTTTTGTTTTTTTTTTATATGAAAATGAGTATGTGTGCGTGTATGGCGGTGGAAGGGATCACAGCAGAGTCCAAATGTCACAGGCACACAGAGATTTCAAGTACTCAAGTCTTGCAACTCTTAAGAAAGCAGACATTTGATATAACCCTAATTGCACAAAGGTAACTTAACATTTTAAAGGCCCCTGTGGCTTAGTTGGTAAGCCAGGCCATCTGCTATTGGCATAGTTTGTGGTTTGATCCCTGGCTCCCCTGTGTGTCACAGATCCTGAGTCCTGAATTACCCCCAGTACCCCAAGGCTTGTAGTGAGAAAGCAATCTGCTCAAAGTGAGTAGAAAAGCACATACACACACTTATATTATTTACTAAAGGATTCAGATTCATACATACACCAGTCCACGTACAACAAAGTCAAGTGTCCTGTTGCATTCAAGGGATTCATATCAAAATTACTTCTTATTGTTACCTTTATCTAGGTGCATGATTTTAATGCTGCAAACGTGACATAGCACTCAGAGGTTTAGGCTACAAATGTCCAAATAAGGGGCAGTGAAAAAATTGTTCAAAGTGTTTAAAATGTCTGTGAAGACATTTATCCGGGACACGTGAGTGAGTGAAGGAGACCAACAGTGGGATAATCCAAGAGCTTTCAGAGGAAGTTCCTCAGTCTGCTGGTTGTCTGCAATTTGTTTTATAAGGGATTAGAAGATAAATAAAACAAAACTTTAAAAAATAGTGTTTTCATGCTACTGTGATAGGAATTGGCTAAAAGCTGATTTTGAATAATGCACAACCTCCAGCTGCTGGTGTTCAGTACGTAACATCATTTGATCATAATATGTCCTAATATTTTTTTCTTAAAGAAACAGGAATAGTGTCTAAAGTGTTTTAACAAATTGATCTTTAGAATATATTTTGTCATTTCTGTCTTTTGCAGGTGTTTCAACACGCATGCTAACAATTGTTTCTGTAAATTCATACATTTGCACTGCTGTATGTAAGACTTAGTTTTTACTTTTCAAATGAAAATAAAAGTGAGAAAATATAGTACATAAAAACCTGAGTCAGGAGATCTTCATCAATGCATGTTATAATGAATAATGTTGAAAATTGGACAAGCAAATGCCTGGTAGAGAGGTAAGAAAACTCTGTTTAAACACAGAAAAAACATTAAACTGTTACTGCACACCTGGACACATATATTGCTTACCAGTGATGCATTCACTGCGCTAGATCCAGTACATGTGATTACTACTGTTTTTGCACAGCAGAGATAATCAAAGGATCACTGTTTTTCGCATTTTGTTTCAGATGTGGACTGATATATGGAAGGATCTCACCACCAAACAAACACTCAGTAAATGAGCAGATGCGAGACTGAGACGTCACATCGTAAAAGGACACGAGACCTTCCTCATAATCTACAAACACCCCGACTTTCTGAGGTTTCCTTTTAGGTGAAAGGCTCACTGGTGGTGTCGTCAGGGCTGCATATTTCTGATCTTCATAATGTACAACAACCCAGTAACCTTTGTCAGGATTGATTGAGAGATTCCCCTTGTGGTTTGCGTCACGTCTCGCCAGACCCAGATCCCACCCGGGCTTATTCCTGACCTCCACCTGCCAGTATGCCCTGCCAGAGGACAGCCTGTTGAGCCCCAGGACACTTCCAAATACATCAAACCTCTGCAGAGAGTCAGGATCTGTCGACATATTTCCACTATCTTTCACTTTTTTCCCATTATCAGAAATTTCAAGTCTTTGGTGTGCGGTGGTGGGGTCCAGCTTCACGTCCACTGCAGTCAAAAGAACACAAGTGATTAAAAAGATGATTTTATTGTTACAGTACGACCAGAAAGAGATCATCAACAGAAAAAATATAACTCATGTCATACAGTTTCAACATCTCACCAGCTACTTGTATTAACTGGATAAAAAGATAACAAGTGAGAAAATATTAAAATTGGTTATCTTAAAATGATTTTTGCCATTGTTTTCTAAATGACCTTTGAATACTACATAAGAAAATTAGATTTTAGTTTAGTAAACTACATATGAATTTTCATATCTAACGAAAACTTAGCAAGAAAACTCCAATTCTGGACAATAAAAACTTTTATTACATCTAATACATCACAAGAGGTTTTTATTTTAAATGCCGGAGTTTAAAGAATCTAAATACCTATACTGTAAGTATCATGGGGATTTTATTTTGAAATCAGTTATAACTTAGGTCAAACATGATAATTTACCAAAGGATTTTTTCCATTAAGAAACTGAGGATCCATCCTTTGAGCCAACATTTGAGCTGCACCTGTTTGCTTCTGTTAGTAAGTGTCAGCATCTGGAACTTGTCTGTTGTCCATCAGTGTGTGTCTTGCGTGTATTTACAATGAAAACGTGAAACAAAGACCATTTCTTTCTATTTAAATACTGTTTTTATTTTGACATACACACCTGCAAACATAGGAATCTTCTTGAATTCTGTGGAAGCAAAAATCTTAGTAAGATGCTGTATATCAACTATAGATTTTAACACAAATCATGACGAATCAAAGGACTCACCGATAGTTGAGAGTTTATCAAGTTCCTCGTGAATTTGCTTCATCATGGTTGAAGTCCTAGCTCTCAGTGTGCCAAAGGACAGTGAAGTGTAAACATGGACATTTTTCCAGTTAGAGTCATTCAGGCTCGCTAGTGGAGAAACCTGTATATGTGTGGAGACATGATTAAATGTAATGATTTTAAATGAAGCAGAACTGACACAGAATAGAAATTAAATGTTTCCTCTTTTAAGTGCTTTTATGCTCCAGTATTAAAAAGACCAGAAGATGGACTTCAGGACCTTGTGGCTCACCTCCAAGTCTGGGTTTTTGATTGACTCATCAATGGCCTTTTTGAGCACATCAATTTCTCTCTGAAGCTTCTGGAGGAGATCCTGAGTGTCTCTTTTTACTTTCCGTCTCCTAGAGTGTGCACAAGAGAGCCTATTTTATTCAAATGTACTGCACCGTAGCAACACAAAGGATCTCCGTGGTGATATTAAGCTGTTCCTCACTGATGAACTAAGAGACTAACTGCAACATAATCTCACAGGACCAACCTTTCCTCCAGAGGCTGAAGGGCTTTCTGCCGAGCATCCTCCACAACTTTTATTATGTCTGAGAAGAAATCGTTGACTTCCAGCCACTCTGCATCCAAACTAGCCTGAAAGCCGTCAAACAGAGTAGAGGATTTAGAGCAAAGATATTAAAGCAAACAAAACAACAAAACAAAAAAGTCAAACATATGTTACAGTCTTTACCTTGCAGTCTGTTACTGATGATCTGACTTCTGCCATTTTATGCTCTCTGATATGAATTTGTTGCTGTAAATGAGCTTTCAGTTTTTCTTGTTTAGCCTTGAAAGAGGACAAAGGACACGTATAATATTTACAAGTTATAATGAGATTAAAAACAAGAAGAGTTGACTATTATGCTGAGATTTGCTGGCATGAGAGTTTTGTGTTTTTCAGGTTTGCGGGCATTTTTTTTTTTTTTTGCCTGTATTTGTATAGCGCTTTTAAAAGAGTTCCTGCTTTGAGCTTGTAGCAGAGATAATAGCACACATAAAGCATGTCACTGGACACTGCAAATGTTAATGTAATGGTGGATAAACAATCCGATTATTAATCAACCTGGAGAACTGAGATTTGGCTGGAAAATTAATTCTCATAAACAGCAGTTCCTCTAGTGACTACTGGAGGCTGGCTCCGAAAGGGATTCAGTCCCAACAGACAGACTCTAGTGTCAAAATGTCAGGCTAAATAGGATTAAAATACATGTTTAAAACCAGGTACAAAACTACAATAGTTGCCCCCTTCCTGACAGTTTTACTGTCGAAAAATTGGCTATATGATCTATCTATGTGGATATTAATAAAGGCCTAACGTTAGGGGTGTGGTGGTTTTGACTGAGCTGTATGCAAACACAGAGCTTTCTGTTTAAGACTGATTGCTGCTTACTGAGCTGTGAGCTGTGCCAACCATAAGCTACAACAAGAGCAACAGAGCGCAAGGGTCAACTTTGACCTTACGCTCAAACAAAGAAGGTCAAGGTAAAATGCTTAGTCATCCTAGGTGCTCATGTCCTCCAAGGCCTATTGTAGTGAAGTTCTGTTCACCAAAATGAAATCGGCTGGAGCTGTTATTGGTATCAAACATCACACAAAATTTGAAAATGATATTGAAAACTAACATCTTGCTAAGAAACAGAAAGACAGGCAGACAAACAAACAAATGGAACTCGTTACATTTTCTTTACCTTTGGAGGAAGAATGAAACTAATGTTTACGTAGTTTTACTTTGAAGTCAGCAATGAGTCTGTAGAGCGATGCAGCCAAAGGCTTGTTAAATTCTTAGCAAATGAGCAAAATGATGCCTTTGGCCACCTTGTGCTCTTTATGAGGAGATTTATTTTGGCTTCATAATGTATACTTCAGTATGGGTCCATTTTACATGCATCTGAATGGTCGTCCTTAAGAAGTATGCAGTACCTGCTGTCCACCAATAGAAAAGTCCAGAACTCGGCGAGCTCTGGAATCTTCAAGTTCAGTAGTTAGACGAGCGCGCTGTGGAGTCTCAAAGACTGTAGAGAAAGAAGACAGTCACTGTAAACTGTTCTATGCCTGTTATCAGTTATAAATGGTTTAAGCATGATGTTGGGGTCACTATACTGCTAAAATACATAAAATGCTGAACTACATCAACAATTACTGTAAACTGGGATGATAACAGCAGTTTTAGTGAGGACATTTTTCCTGGTCCTACATCAGCACAAATGCTGTACCATCGATGCGCTCACCAGAACTCTTTAAGTCATCCACAAAAGGCTCTTCTATTTTGATTTGAGGTTTATTGTAGCTCAGTTTATGAGAGAAATTGGATTGTTCACTTTGAGGGATCCTCATTCCTTTTGGTGTGCATCCCATCATTCCCTGGTGAACTCTCAAGCCGTGGTAAGTTGTATATTTGGTCCAACCGCAGTGGCAAACCTGTTTGTTCATGTTGGATAAGTTGGGTGTCTGCAACAGAATATTATCAACATATTTGTCAGTGAAGCAAAAATGAGTGGTGTATGATTTAAGGATGTAGTTCGTGTCTAATTTAGTTTAACAACATCCTTAACTCTATGTCTATCTTTCCCTAAATTTCACCACACCTCTGGACTCCTCTGGTAAGCAGTTTCTATTTCATCTGTTTCTTTTCATTTTTGTAGGCAGGCGATCAATAAAACTTAAATTAACAGCTTTATCATTTCTATTTATTTTTTGTGACCATAGTAGTCGTGGTATAGACTGCATAGTGGCTGTATTTAAAACCGTCAGAAAAGTAAGTGTTGTTCCGAATTATTTGAAGTATCGTGCTTTTGTTAACATTTTGAACCAAACTTAGAATGTGATACTAAAGGTACAGTAGTTGAATGGGTTTAATAAGGGTTTCAGGTTACATACTCTTTACCTTTGGAGGAAGAATAAAACTAATGTTTATATAGTTTTACTTTGAAACCAGGAATTAATCTGTTGAACAATGCAGGCAAAAGGCCTGTAAATTCTTAGCAAACTGGCAAAGTGATGTTTTCGGCCACCTTGTGCTCTTTATGAGGAGCTTTATTTTGGCTTGATAATGTATACTTCTGTGTAAGTCCATTTTACATGCATCTGAATGGTCGTCCTTAAGAAATATGCAGTACCTGCTGTCCACCGACAGAAGATTGCAGATAATTACGAGCTCTCGAATCTTCAAGTTCAGTAGTTTGACGAGCGCGCTGTGGAGTCTCAAACACTGTAGAGAAAGAAGACAGTCACTGTAAACTGGGATGATAACAGGAGTTTTAGTGAGGATATTTCTCCTGGTCCTACATCAGCACAAACACTCACCAGAACTCTTGAAGTAATCCACAAAAGGCTCTTCTATTTTGATTTGAGCTTCATTGTAGCTCGGTTTATGGGAGAACCTGGATTGTTCACTTTGAGGGATCCTCATTCCCTTTGGCGTGCATCCCTTCAATCCCTGGTGAACTCTCAAGCCGTGGTAAGTTGTACGTTTGGTCCAACCGCAGTGGCAAACCTGAACGTTCATGTTGATAAGTTGGGTGTCTGTAAAAAAAATATTGTCAACATATTTGTCAGTAAAGCAAAAATGAGTAGTGTATGATTTAATGATGTCTAATTTACTTTAACATCCTCAACTCTATGTCTATCTTTCCCTAAATTTCACCACACCTCCACATCCTCTGGCAAGAAGTTTTTCTTTCATCTGTTTTCTTATTACTGTTTCTTTTCATTCAATAGCCAGGTGATCAATAAAACTTCAATTGAGAGCTTTATCATTTTTATTTTTATTTTGCGTGTGACCATAGTAATCATGGTACAGACTGCATACTGGCTGTGTTTAAAACTTTCGGAAATGTAAGTATTCTTCCAGATTATTTCAAGTATTAACATTAGGAACCAAAACTACTACTTGTAAAGTAGTTTACTGGGTTTAATACGGGTTTCAGGTTTAAAATAGCTTTTTCGGTGCAATGCTGTCATAGTTACTAACACAGATGTCCTTATATCAGAAATACATATCCATATGAGATTAATGAGATATTTATTTATTTCTCTAGCCAAATGAAAACAGGAAGTTAAAGAGTTCTGTCTCAGTAAGATTACATTGTGATTACATCAAGAGTGACCTGGGCTTAAGATTAAACAACGTGCAACATGACTGACCTAACATGTCTGTGTACTGTGGGAGGAAATGCCCACCCGGGCACAGGGAGAACATGCAAACGCCACACTGTCCCCAGCCTGAATTCAAATCTAAGACCCTTATACAGTGCGACAAAAGTACTATTCAGTGGTTCATGTGTAACAGTGACTGTTACACATGAACCGTTTGGAGTTGTGTTGCATAAGTTTGTGTCTAATCCCAATCAACTTGGTGTAGGAGAAAAAATGAATATTTATGTGTGGTTATAGTGTACATGATGTTTAGTCAAATATAAATGTACAAAGACATGGGTCATGTACATAACACGGGGATCTACATAAATGCAATTAGTAATTAGTTTTATTGATGCAGGTCACCATAAAACATTAATTTATGGTTATATCATGTCTCTTTATATAAACCCATACATAAATCTACCGTTCAGTGTTTGACCATGCGTGAAGAAGGGGGAAGTGACATTTTCCTTTGCACAGCACAAACATTCACACCATGTCTGCTCTGGACTAGAAGGAGTTAAAATGACTCTCCAAGAGCAGTATTTGTATTTCAGGTTGGATTTGTTTATTCCTGCCATGGAAAGAAAAGCAGCCTAGTGGAAAAAAGTAGTTTGAGCACACACCCCGTGCAGGTTGTAACAGCTTCCTTATCTTCAAACGATCGACGTGTAATTAACTGGAGTTAAGTTTGTGCCTATATAACGTTGTGTGCTGCACTCTGCAAACTATCAGTTAACATCAACTTGTTAGATTTTAATTCTGTCAGAGTATTTTTGCTCTTAAAGATTTTATTATTCATATAATAATCAGCTAAGAGTGTTTATATTTCTGTTCTGTACTCAACCAGCTGCATATTTTAATTGCTGGCTCCCTACTTTATAACGGAAACTGCTTGCCTTCACATTATCAGTCTTTGCCTTCACATTGTCACTGTTTGCCTTCACACTAGCAGGAAACCGCCACCCACGAGTAAGAAACAACCTTGTAGAGAACACGAAGTTTTTTGATAAACCACACCTGTTTTCTTGACAAGATAAGGATGATATTTCCTTTTTTGTATGCTTCATGATGTGTATAAATAAAGCCAGACTGCACCAAGGAGGTGTGTGAGTCTCTCCCTGAGTCTCTCACCCGTGCATGTTTAAAACTGCTCTAAGTGTCTGAGTGATATTTCATTGCATCTGAGTACTTTGATAATAGAATATCTTTTACAAATTCACACACAAGACTTCACAGCATCTACACAAAATAAAATTCATATAATATATAATATTATACGAAGTCGTAATATTTTAATATTATCTGATTCTCCTTCACTCATGCAGGCACGAGAGGGAGTGTTAGTGAGATTGTCAGGTTATTTTGTCATGAGACTTTTCAAAAAGTAAACACCAAAGTGCTGAGCAGCCTACCTGCTCCTTCGTATCTCACAATGACTCGATCCTCGGCTGTGCGATCTGCTGCTGTCTCCAAACTTTGTTCCTCTCTGGTTCAGTTTCAGTTTCGTTTTTCTTTCATATTAATCCCGAAACCAGCCCTTTAAATTCAATTGTAAGGAGTTGCGACACGTCACTACGAAATACTCGGTTACTGGAAACGTCATGGAAAAGAAACAAACACACAAACGTCATGAGAAAAAAAAAGGAAAAAAAGAGAAAGAATAACGAGAGAAAACAAATACAAACACAGCTGACATCTTCCTGGTCCTGATATTTTGAATATTTTTAACTGATATTTTTTATAACAGTATTTAACGTAGCTTACAACAGTAGCACAATAGGGGAGACCGGGGATAGTTGTAACACTTCCAATTTCTCCAATCAGGGCTAAGTTTCAAATGATGTGACTCATCCTGTGCATGCCCAATTCAGTTCTGCTATCACATGTGAAAAATCAGCACATTTTGTCAAACACAGACAATTTAACATGAAAAAAAGTAATTTGTATGCCAAAAAGTAAGTTTTTCTACTTTATTTCAATTTGTAATAGCATTATCTGCTTTGCAGTTAAACTCATCAAATGTAAATTATGTTATTTGTATGTCTATGGGGATATATTCTGTGTAGGTCTTTAGTGCTAATGTTTTAGCCGTTGGCTGTAATGTTAGCTAGTTCATGGCTATAGGAGTTCTGGGTCAGTTGTAACAGCAACAGTCTGGGTTAGTTGTAACAATAATGCAGATGTTACAACTTACCACACTATTACTTTAACTTATATTAACCAAGTTGGGGCAACGACATCAGCAGAGAGAGGTTCACTGGTCGCATTTGTATATGCGGTTAATGCCATTAGCAACACAACTACTTCACTGTTTGTGTTCCCACACATACATTATGCAGACCACTGTGTCAGAGATGGACCAGTAGGAAGTACTGGTAGTGGAAATAAGTCAGGATGGGTGCAAGAAACAGATTTCCTCATCTTTCTGAAGCACTTTGCAAACCACACCAAGGTAAGCCATGATAAAAAGTAATGGAATTGCGATGCTGGTGAACAACTACATTTTTTGAGCTTCATTGTTATGTTCAAAATTGGTGCAAGAGTTGTAGGTTATAATGCCCACTGAGCCAATGAGGCCAAACTCAAGGAAGACCAACCAAAATTAATGAAATATTCAGTTGCAGAAAATTCCATAATTTGTCTTTTTTGGGGGGTTGGAATATGTTCAAAAGCTAGATTTCTGCATTCTGACACACACACACACACACACACACACACACACACACACACACACACACACACACACAGCTACATAAATGGATGTAAGTGAATTCATGTGTTGAATAAACAAAGATTACATGTTAATATTTTGTTAGTACCCTTATTTCATTGTGTTACATTTTACCCCAGGATATGTTACAACTCACCCAGACTATGGGGTTAATTGTAACATTTCACTCTTTGTGTTTGAGGCCATACCATGCAATGGGTAATTGTGCTGCAGAGAAAATAGCTGCACTATTTAATAGCAGAGACATGTAAATACTTTGCATTACATTTTGAATCCACTACCTTAAAAGAGCTTCAATTTACAGACAGAAATGTCAAAAATGTTACAACTATCCCCGGTCTCCCCTACATATTAAAACAAGCTTCCGATAAAAGCCATTTAATGTGTAAGACAGTCAAGGTGAAGTCATAATGAGTTGAATCAGTTAATTAGTTTTTCATGCCGACACTTTTTTTCGTGGTTAGAAGTGGATTGTTTTTTACCAATATTATAATCCCCCAAAAAATCAAAGTTTAAAACTGACGGGAAGCCTGATGCGATCTTTTACATGACATCAGTTAGAACGATTAGGTGGGTATTTAATGTATTTAATACTTTTAGACAGTAAAGTGTAAAGGAGAAGGTGGGGTGCAAAAGACACTCCTCATTTAGCACGCAGGGCTTTTTTTCATGCTTTTCATGCTGAACACTAATAAAAGTGTAGTAGCTGCACTCTGTAATTGTCATATCCTCCTCACTGGGTGATAAGGAAGAGAGAGACAGAGAGATAGATGAGTTTATTTATTTTTCATGAAACAAAAGCAACATCTAGGCTTATACATGACAGCAGACTGGGACTGAATGATTTACCATTAACACCCAGGCAGAACTTACGCATATGCTACCAAACATGGCACTTAAAGAAAAAATATAATAATAAGAACTGCACATATACACAAACACCCATGCATAGTTACTGATGGTAAGCAGTGGCACCATCTTCTTTAACATGCAAACTGAAATAGGGGTGAAGTTCCCCAGTAAACAAACACTCTTTGGTTTGTAGAATGACACAAAACCTTCCTCGTAACTCAAAAAAACTCCAACGTTTGTGAGGTTTTCCTTTGGGCAAAGGAAGCAGGTGGTTCTGTGAGGACTGTGCAGACTTTGTCATCTTTGTGCGATCACCCAGGAATCATTTTTGGGGTTTTGTGAGAGGTTCTCCTTATGGCTTGTGCTGGCTTTTATTACACCCAGATGCTCGTGTTGCTAACCTCCACCTCCCAGTAAGATTTCCCATGGATCAGGCAGCTGAGCCCAAGCAGATTGCTGAATTACATCTAAGCCTCTGGAGCTTTCTGCTTCTCTTCTCTGGCTCTCACTTGCTTCCCTGTGCCCGGATCCAGCATTATATCCACTACAGTTACAACAAAAACAACACATCTGTAAATATAACAATGCCAGGAAACAGGAATCATACCTGCAATGAATACAAATGAGACGTGATCAAACTGTTTTTACTTTTTTTTTTGGTCCCCCTCTCCAGGCCATTAAGGGGCACCCAAAGGGCTGACACATTTTAAACTACATCAGTAGTAATGTAAAAAGTTTACAGTGACAGTAGGCAAGACCTGACCTCCCTTAGGGGGACCAACCTGCCTCCACTCATGCTTGTTGCAAGTGGCACACATAATTCTGTTTAAACAAACTCCATGACAACAATGATGCAAACAAATAAATGTAAACGAAAGGATTCATCCTTCTGAGAATAATAAGAAAGAAGGAAAAAGAGGATGAGGGGAACAAAGCAACAACAGTAGTGACGGGGCACTGTTTAAAAAAAGCTTTAAGTTTGGAGTTGCAGCACCGCTTGTTAAAAGCTATAATAATATTCCATGGTCTTCAGCTACCTACTTGTTAGCTTTCACAGTTAAAAACAACCAAACCAAAACACAGTTACCTAGCTGCTAACACAAACCACAACTGCTCTTTCATATTAAAAGCATCAGAAAATGTTAAAAAGGATTTTATTTTGAAACAATAAGACATGTTTGAAACTTGAGTTTCCACATTTCCAGCAAATCAGCTGCTAATCGAGCACTGGCTGCAGTTCCAAAACTCAGGACTAAAAGCTTGAGGAAAAATCTGAAACAGATATTTTAAATATGAAATGTGTGCCGTACCTTTGAGTGGTTTCGATCCTTCATGTCTGGGTCTTTCTCTTTTTGATGATCTTTAGTTTCCCTGGCTGAAAGCTTCTGGATAAGCAGCTTCACCTGAAAGATAGTAGGCACTCAAGTATCCATTGAATTATCACCCAACCATGGACTTTGTGGTAGAGGTGGGCGGATCCAACTAAATATCGATGGTATGGATACCAACGGTGGTATTGGTATCGGATCAATACTTGTGTGATAGGATTGTTACTTTGTTACTAATAGTGTTGAATTTTTTTTTTTCTTGGAAATGAAAAAAAAAACCCTTGAACATGCAGTATGAAACATGTCTGAACCTTTTTGTGTTGACTACACATCTATTTTATTGTTAGCTTACAGCACAGCGACCCAAAGTCCTTTAGAGACAGACGGGTCCATGTCTCCAAAATAATCCAGTTTCAGAACACATGAAAACCCAAAAGGTGTGTTTTGTTAACTCATTATTGTACAAAATAAAAATCACAATGATTTAGTGTCCAGTAAAATGTGTTCACAATGTTTCAATTAGTGATGATTAAGCTCATAAATCATGAGACACTGCTCTCTCCTACATAAGCTGCCTTTATAGGTTCAAAGCATCAGTATTGGCAGTACTAGTATTGGATTGGATCAATAGCAAAATTTGTGTTATTACAAAGCACTACTTTCTGATTGGTGTCCAAATGGAGTCCCAGACGTGTTCTGGTCTTATAGAATTGGGGAGTTGGAAGAGCTACAACAAAAGTCCAGTTTACTTTCTAGCAGCTGCTTAACAGACGGTCATTTTGTCTTTTGATAAAAAAGGTCAAAGTCAGCAGTAAAGATGATAAAACAACATCTTCTTTCCCACTTATGCCACATCAGGCCAGCCGAAGGAGAACATGAAAGCTTCACACAGAGAGTGTAAAACTAGAAAACGTGCTAACCCCGGCACAGTTGTGCTATCTCAACATGACTTTTAGCTCTTTTTTTAGACTTCTTGGTCAGATTGTGGTGAAGTCAGGACAAAACGATAGAGGAAACAGAATTTGTTAAAAACTAAGAATCACCCTCTTTGGTGGTTGCATAACCCAAAAAGGGAATATATGTTTCTGTTTTCACTCATACCAAGAATATCATCGGAAGAAAAACCAACACTTCCTGCTTTAGCAGCATTTCCTGCTTCACCCCTCTACACCCTCTACAGTACAAACCACATTATGCTCTCTGCTTTCTAAATGACATTGACTGTGGTTTACCCCGTTTGCAGGTTTCTGTTCTTCTCTCCGTTTCTCTTTTAGTCCGATTGTTTTCTCCTGTGTTGTATTGGCTGAAAACATCCGGGCCAGATCCTTCACCTAAAATGCAGCAAGCAATAAGAACTGAAAACAATCAAGCAAAGAAAACAGATGAAACCTCTCCTGTAGTAAAGAAACACTCAGGTGCAGCAGCTGCAGTGAAACAAGCTGTCAGGTCTGGCTGAATGAGTGTCAGATGTTTTTCGTGCACAGGAAGTCGTACCTTCAAACCAGAGGAGAAATCTGAGAGTGGTGCATTTTCACACGCTGTAGAAAAAGATGATAGTAATCATCAGCCATGTTTTTTATTGTATTTTTCTCAATTTTACATATAAACATTCTCATATTGTGACTTACATATTTTGGGATCCTTCTCTGCTGTTAGTGATGCTTTCGCTGCTGCAGAATTGATTTCAATGGGATTGCTTTTTGAATCTGTCACCATCTGTCAGAAAAGGTGGATAATAGTTTATAACGCATGAAGAATTTCAACACAGCTCCCTGTATTTGTCTCCTGTGATATATTGCAAACATATATGATATATGTTTGCTTCATGATGGATTCATCTAGCTCATGGTTTTCTGTGAAACGTGCTTGCAGAGGGGCACGGTTCTGGCTCAACTGCAGGAGGAGGAGTGGTGCAGTGCGGTGCAGAGAGTAGGTGGAGTATTTGGGACACTGGCTGTGCATTCCCTAATTAACCTGTGCTTATTAGGCAGTTTGCCCAGACCTGGAGATGGACACATGCCCACACTTCTGTGCTGTAGCTGATCTGCATACTTGACAGTGAGAAGCAAGAGCCACTGCTTTGAGAGAGAGAGCACCCTGAGGCCGGGCGCATCGAGAGTAGCGACTCTTTCCTGTTATAAATGTGTGTGTTCTGTAAATAAAGAGTGCGTGCCTGATGATGCTGCATCGACACGGACACAAGGTCTTGAACTACAGAAAGAAAAACAATGAACTCCAACATAAAAACTTTAAATGTAATATTTTGCTCAACCAGCAGCTTGAAGCTAAAACAGGATCCACTCATGAGTTATTTGGGTACTTCAGGCTGGATCAAAGAGCTAAATGACTTTTCCACTGATGGAGGAAAGGCAACAGATCACTCGCCCTGCACCTGTGTGGGTTTCTGCTCCTCCCCGTGCTCCTCCTTTGCTTTGGCTGCTGTTTCCTGGGCAGAAATGACTGAAAACCTTTGAGCCAGCAGTTTCACCTGAAAGATATTGAACATATTAGAAAGCCGTGATTCATTAAATGGTGTTTGGGGTGGGGGAGGGGTGGGGGGTCATCGTAGACATGATTAAAGATTCTATATTTTGTGTATTTTAGCCTTCAGGCTCGAGCACAGGTGTTGGTCCGTGATCATGATCATGTCCCATGTTTTACATATTTGGCTCCTCCCATTAACGTATGTGTGGGTTTGTGTTGACTGTTGAGACAGGTGGAGACTGCTGATTGGCTGCTTTGAGTGCGTATTTGATGACTGGATGTACAGCAGCCTCTCAACCTCCAGCTGGCAGCCAGCAGAGAGCCAGCTGTTAACTGGGATCTTGAAATGTGAGGACTGAGCAGCAGTGAGGAATTGATTTGAGAGCTGAGAAGCTGAGAGAACATTCTGAATTCTGTTTTCAGCTGAGTGCATTTAGGAAATAATGAATTGTAAATAAATAAATTGCTCTACATATTGAGCACCTCAAAGCCGTAAGATCCTTTTTTTCCTTCTTTTCCCCCAGTTGGAAACTGAGGTTAAAGGACTGTCAGCGCTGCTCTTTGCGTGAAAATTGTAAAAAATAAATTGCAGAAAAGGTTCTGGTAGCATAATTCACAGACCTGTCTGTAGTTATAAAATAAAAAGCTTAAAATATATGACCTCCTTCACATTTTCCAAAAACATCCAGTGGGCCAGATTGAAGTCTTTGCCAGGCCCATACAGGACCCTGGCCCTTATGTTTGACAGCCCTGTTCTAGGTTATCCCTAACTTGGGGATGTACTACAGGATATAAGAGGGTTTTACCTGAGATGGTTTTTGGTTGGCTCCGTGTTTCTCCTTTGTTGAAATCAGCATTTCCTTGGCTGAAAACATGCGGGCGAGTTCCTTCACCTGAAAAAACATCCATAGCGACAACCAAACTCAAGCATTCCCATCAGAACGCTCTGCAGTGTCACAACTGTGAGTGAGAGATATGGAAGACTCTGTACCTTCACACCAGTGGAGAGCTCAGCCTCTGCAGCGCGATCCACTGCAAACACAAACACAACAGCTACATCATTGAGCATGAATGCATTAGCCTGAAATCATAGAGGGGCACCTCACTGTCAACTATATATATGTTTAATTTTGTGTAATAAGCTAGGATATTTATTAAGTAGAGCTATTTTGTTATATGTTGTAATATTTCATTTAGTTGAGTTAGTTACTCTTACTGTCTTGGGGCACATCATTTCCTGTGGGATTAATAAAGTATTCTGATTCTGAATGTTTATCGCCTGAACCATACGATCACATACACTGTGTTGGATTGTCCTTCAGTGAGACGTCCGCTGCTGCAGGACTTGTTTGTGTGTTTGCACTCATTACATCTGAAACGTTCTGTCAAAAAACGAGAGGATCGCTGTTAAAATTTGAGACATTTCAGAGTACAAACTGTATCTCAAACATTTGTAAGATGTTTTCAACGACAATACTTAAAAAGTCTTAGATTAAAAGTTCAAATGTAGCTAAATTAATTAGATTAATTCTGATCAGGTGCCGTTGGTGACTACATGCTACAGCTTCCTGTTTACCTCTGGTCTGCAGGCTCTGACTTCACAGTTCTTCCCCTCTGTCATCTGAAGTTTTGGCTGTAATACAGCTTTGAATCTCTCCAGCCTTTCCTTGAATAAATGCTTCTTCTTCGGCGGGACCGGAGGTGGTGCTGTCGGGTGGTCTCTGGCTGATTTGCTTGCCTGGAGGTTTAAAATTGAAACATTTGCCGTAACGTTCAAAACAACCAGAAATAAAGTGAATGAATAAAATAATGTTTCTAGTATACGTCACAAGAGGCTCGATTTTATAAAAGAAAGGACTACACTGGCTTAAAAACATGCATAAAGCTCATTCATCACTTAAAGGGGGAGCTACTTTTTTTGTTACAGTGGTGGATGTTCATTGTAGATACGGTCGAATTTTCTGGCAATTCATATTTCAGGCCTTAACCTCTTAAGCTCCAAGCCTACCTGATCTCCTGCCTTTTGCCCCCGTATCAGGGGGTGTTGGGGCTTAAGAGGTTAACGGGTTAAAGGTCATCAGTCTAATGTGTTAAATTGCAGTACCTGTGAAAATGTTGGATTCTGTGTGTGATTTTCCTCAGCTTGGCCTGCTGGTGCTGGGTTTGTGGTTGCTGGACTCATCATCTGAAAGATGTTATGCACTGTAATGCAAATGTTGACTGCTAATGACTATGATTTGACTAAATGCCTGAACAAAGGTCGGCCTCGTACAGTCTATTCAATACCTGTCTCTGATCCTTCATCTCTTTCTTTTCAAGCAGCTCTGCTGTTTCCGGTTCTCGAGTACTTGGAGGTTCTCCGACAGATCTTCTAACCTGAAACATTTTTAGAGAAACACATGTTATTCTTGTTTTACCAAAACACTGCTTCATGACACCAAACTCTGGTGGTTTATTACACAAGCCGAAACATTTTTGAGAAAGTCACAGGACTCTACCTTCAAACCCGTAGAGAATTCCTGCTGCTGGTCACTGGTGGCTCTTTGGAAAGATGGTTGTGAGGTTGGGGGTGCTGTGAGGAAAAAAGGATTGCTTTAATGTTTTTTTTCCCAGACAAATTTTTTAAAAATAATTTGTCTTGAATAAACTTCATTTCTTTGGTCACACATACGTGATTTTGGCTTCTCCTTGATTTTGGCTGCTGGTGTTGCATAGTCTGCAGATGGGTCAATGTTTATATATCCTGTCATTGCACTACTGTCTACTGCCTAAGAGAGACAAAACGTTTCTTAAACTGAAGAAACATGTGTAAAACCTAAAGTCCTAAGGTCTAAAACAGTGACATACATGTGATAATGGTTGTTGCTTTATTTGTTCCTCCTTAGATTGGATTACATTTCCTGGGTATGGTGGTGCTGAAGGCTCCCTGGCAGGTGCAGTCACCTGTAAAATATGGATTCCATTTACATGCTGCTGTTTACTAATTTTAAAGTACTATGAATGGATCCATTGTACCTGTGGAAGGGTGGGGAACTCGTAAAGTTGATGGTCTGACTTTGAGTTATTGGCTCTTTGGGTGGAGCGTTGTGCAGAAGCTGCTGTAAAAAGATCATAGTTCCAGCTTTCGCTTCTATTCAAAGTCATACTTTTAGATCGTAGCTCTGTACACACCTGATTCGTATTCATCCTCTCTGAACGTTGCTGCAGAGCTGTTACTGCTGCTTGTCTTTGCTGGTCCTGGTGAATTCTGTCAGGTTAAAATGAAACTATTTGAAAACTAGCTGCCGTTATTGAAGACTTTTTACTATAGAATGAATGAAAAAACAACAGCCACGCTAACTGCTCATTGATGCTGTCAAAGAGTAGACTAAGATGGGCTACATGCATGTTAATTATGATGATCATGATGCCAGCTTGGCTAACATTTGCTGCTTAGCATTAAAGACAAAGTACATGAGGATGATGTGATTAGTTGGTTTGGTGCTGGACAGTCCCTCACCAAACTCTTCCTCTGAGGGATGTTCTGCAGTCAGTAACTGTACTATAGATGTGAAATGCTAAAGATTAAATACTAAAACAAAGGTTCTGCTTCAAGCAGACCGTCTGGTACCTGTGTTTGATCCTTCCTCTCTTGATTTTTGAGCATCACTGCTGCTTCCAGGGGAACCTGAAACATAGAAAAGAAAACACAGCTTCTTCCTCTTTTTCAAACCACAGCGCTACGTGATACCAAACTCTGCTGTTTTAGCGCACAAGCTGGAACACTTAGAGAAAATCACCGCACTCTACCTCCTGCTGCTGAACGCTGGTGGCTCTTTGGAAAGATGGTTGTGGGGTTGCTAGTGCTATAATAAAAAGGAGGGTTTTTTCAGACAGGTTAAAAAAAACATCTTCTTTTGTATACATTTTGTTAATTTCTTTGTTTATACATACGTGACTTGGGCTCCTCCTTGATTTTGGTTGTTGTTGTTGGATAGTCTGCACAGCAGTCATTGCTCTGATATCCTGCCACTTCTCTACTGTCTTCTGTCTAAGAGAGACAAAAAGTTACTTA